AAGTGGACTTTGTTCACTGTATGTTTACTAAATGCTGATTTCGTCTAACTTCTATTTTGGATGTCTAAGGTGTGTTCCTTAACGTTTGCTTCGATGTTCCTCTTTTTCTATTCAATCTCAAGCCACAGTCGAAGTCGAGTTTGTATATACCGGCTTGTTGTAAAGGAATAGTACTCTTGATCGGTCTCAAGAATTGCCTCACCGTTTTGTTTTTTATATATAGTCTTGATCGAAACCCTTTTCAAGATATTGCTTACTCTGTCAGAAACTCCCTTCAAACTGGTATCCATTATTATTTAAAAAAAGATTGAATTTTGATCATACATTTTTCGACCGGTGGACAGACTTGCCGCCTCACCTCTCGGACCGTCCCAGGGATATTTTTCTTAATTGAACTTTTAACTTTATAGATACCGGGCTGGGGTTGCTAGGTTGCCCTCTTTGCCCTCTGCCCTCTAGGTCTTTCCAGCGTCAGCCCGACCATCATCATCCGATTCACCATCCGTGATATACATACAACTCAGTTTCCTAGAACCTCCGGTTGCTACTCCACGTTTTTGAAGCAAACGGTAGGACTTCCGACGTTATAGTCTATATTTTACGTTAAATAGAAATAGAGCTGCTAAAAACATATGCGGTACTTTATTCGAATCGGAAGATTTCTAGAAAAATGTTTTTAAGAGTATATTAGCAATTAAAAAAAATTGCAATTGTAATTAGCAAAATATGATAGAAAAACTTATATATGTAGTTCTTCGTTAACAACTTCTAAAATAATAATTTTTAAGGAAATCTAAGAAAGGATCATCAAAGGGAAAATATCCGATATATAACTCCTGGAACTCAATCTACATATATCTAATATATAAAATTCTCGTGTCACAGTTTTCGTGCCCATACTCCTCCGAAACAACCTGACCGATTTTGATGAAATTTTTTGTGCTTATTCGGTAGCTATGAGAATCGGCCAACATCTATTTTTCATCCCCCTAAATGTTAGGGGTAGTCCACCCCTAAATTTTTTTTTTATTTTTTAGACAAAATTTTTAATTACTATTTTTTTATGATACAACGTACAAAAATACATACAATCCTAAATTTTCACCCTTCTACGATCAACCCTTATTTTTTAATAGCTATTTTAGTAATTTAATCATTTTTCATCTCCGGTCGATAACTGATCAATCGTCATTTAATAAGTTATCCCCGCCAGATATCTACAGGTGTCACTTCTGACCCAGTAAACAGCACGGAGTAGGGATGAGAACGAAGCCGGTCTTCTGTTTCTCTCACACAATTAGACTTCTCTCACTCCCTACACAGTTGTCGGCCATCGTTATTGTTTGTGCATCAAGTGTAGTAGTAACGTTGACAATTATTATTTTGCTAGCTCAGTGTAACTCTCATATTAACTATTAATCATTCCTAATCACTTCAAAACACGGAGATTTATGGCTTTAATAGGTAAACTCCAAAAATATAAATAAAAAAACGTAACAGATATTTCTTGATTATAGGGCGAAACGAAGTTCGCCGGGTCTTCTAGTTATTTATATATCTGTAACGTAAATAAGTTTTTGTAAATAAGGCTCCACGAGGGCTTTACGGCATAAGCGCGCTGCCCAAAAAGCTGGTATAATAAGCTATATAATATAATATCGCTATACATATAATAAGTTGGTAAAAATATATTTTTTTAAATATTAAATAACAATTTCAAAATTTGAATAAAGTATGTATAATCTAGACACTTCAGGAGCTTTATTTCTATTTAACACGTTTTTGAACTTGTTGACTAGACTATCAGTTACATTTAGGATATTCTAAATATGTTTAATAAATGTATAATGTTTCGTCAATTAGACGGTCTAATTGACGAAACATTCAACCCATATCGGAATTCCAGAACATTATAGAATAGGGATTGCTGCTGGAGCTCGTCTCACATCGACGGAGAAAGACTACGATTCAAATTAAGTAAATACACCAGAATCGCTCTTGTGTTACTTCTTCCTTAATAATAAGATCCTCTATTTCTTTAAAATTGCATCGAGCAAATTTGAGGTACATATGTAGTAGTTATAAATTAATGAGATATTACTAGGTACATTTGCAATAAAAAAAATAAATGAACTTTTTCTTTTGATTTTATCAATTTTTTGTATTAAAATTTTATATTCTCATTAAATGAATAGGTTATCAAGTATGCTTATATTTAATTAAAACTTTTTAACATATATCTACTCGTGTCACATTGCCTATTCTAAATTATCCTATCAATTACTTTTGCTAAGTAACTGTGAGACTATTTTTGCTGAAAATTCCCCTAATTGCAAATGTATTTAAATGCGGTAAGGTACTATAAATATGTGGTTTTCAATGGAAACGAACAAATGGGAAAGTGAAACTGAGAACTGCGTACATTTATGATTGGAATGTTTTTGGCATGGCCACTATTATACATCCCGAATGAACCTGCTATGTGGTTATTTTATTATTTATGATTTATTATTAAAAGGTAGTGTTAATTTATTTCTTTGTTTGTTTACTTATTTATAGGAAAAATTGCTGTTTATATTAGAATAAATTACTTCGGTAGGGTAACACTAATTAAAAGTTCCTCGTTGAAAATCCAGGCATTAGTCAGGTTTTAACTAAGACAGTTCTTAAACCACTAACGTTTTGATGTTGAAAGTTGATAAAGTCATTTTAAAATAATAAAAATATAATATTAATCTTGTTTTGTAAAAAGATTAACATAATAAATACGTTACATATATTTAAAAAATATAAAAATCTACAGTAAATATTTTAACCATGTTTTAAAAACAATCACTACCATACTTCTTTTTCTTCTTCCTCTACCTGTCAATTTCCCACCTGTAGCCAGGGTCTGCCTTACAAGTTGTGAATAGTTTTGGCTTATTGTTTTTACGACCGGCCTATTTTTATTTCGCTGCGAAATATTATGCAAAGAATGATTTAGTTATATATTTATTCTATTGCCTAAACTTTCTTTAATTTTAGTTAAGTAATAATTATTATAATTGGAAGAATATAGTTCATAATAAAAGTGTAAATTTGAATGATGATAAAAAATATGATACTAAATGATTCATCCTTTCGTTAATAGCTAAGATCGAAAAATGTTTTCATATTTATCTTACCTTAAGCTAATTGAGTCTGTCCAGAAATTAACCATAACTCTTAGGGTCGTAGACTTCCTATACATCTTTTTAGTTCTGAGCCTATAAAAAAGAAACAATATAAAGCCAGAATTTAATTCTACGCAACAGTTTTTAGTGTGAATTGTACATCATTCAGTGTGAGTCATCAGTCAAGGCTTTGTAACTATATATCACAAAATGAATTATTAAGAGACAATATTACGGCAAAAGCTTTGAATACGAATGTAAATTAATAATATTAAATGGCACTGGTGTCTTGCAATATTCTATTCCTTTGATAAGAGCAAACTAGAGTGTTAATATGTATTCTACACATATATCTGATGAAATTATATGCTTGTGATAGTTATATAATATCAGTGGCGGCTGGTGGGTTATCGAACTGGTGGTGCACTTTAATAAAATATTAAAATTAGAAAATGCAACAAAAAACCAATTGACATAAAATATGTTTATTTTTTAAATATTAAATCAATGCAACGACATTTTTCTGAAGCGAAATGTTCAATCACCTTTTTATTAAAATCGAGTATTGTTTGTATAATTATTTTTTTCAATACTAAGCATAGAAAGTGCATTTAGCAAGTGCATGGTATTTCGGAGAAAAGTTTTGATTCTTTTCAATTCCAATTCGTCATACATCGGGTGCTCTCGGTAATCTTCGGTCGCTCGTGAGGCGCTCGAGAACCGACTCTTTACTCGGTACATTTCTATGAACTATCTTTTGTTTCACGCGTCAGGCGTACTCGTATTAATGCGTATCTCATACAAGATATATTAGCAGTCCTCGTGCACTCGCCGAAGCGCACGAGATATTAGTTTAGTAAAGCACACAAACTTTTTGACTATAATTAGAAATTTAATTTTTTTATGTTTAGAAAATAAATATTAAAATAGAAGTAAAGTAGAAGTATTATTTTGTAAATTTTAAATCTTTTGAATTGGTGGTTTAGCGCACGAGTGCACTTAAGGTACAGCCGCCACTGTATAATATATTGCATATAGATTTGTATTAGATCTCCAATCAAAAATCCAAAAGATTTAGCGTATCTCTCAAGTACCAACCGTTAAGAACGTTTAAATAACCTTTAGCTTCATTGTAAAATGCATTTCTTAGTATTTATTTCGCAATAAATATAAAATAAAGTGTATGTTTATATAAAAACTAAAGTGTATTAATATATACAAAATTTGTTAAGATGAAATCGTAAACATATGTAACGGTTGAAATATGTATTCAATCTTTTATCATATGAGCTAAAACGAATACACTTATAAACTTTCATTACAATATTTATTTATTACATTTCAATAAAATTTTAATTTTAATGATTTTGCATGGCTTTCTTTTAATGTTATTGTTTTAAATATATTAAGTTTTATTTTTAAAACTCCAATTGTTTCGAATTTTCAGCATTATAGTGTTTGATTTCATGTAATAAGTTTAATATTGGAAAGGATTAATAAAAATCCTTTTCAATATTAAGAACCCAGATGATTGTTGAGCGCAATTATTGCAAATTTGACATATATATATTAATAACTCTACATAACAGTTAGATAGTTTATCTACATATTAGATGTTTATTAACTATAGACGCATTATTATATTAGAAGTTGTAACAACCACAATATATTACGTCTCCTGCAATTGATCAATTAAAATGTTTGATTGTAATATTTGTTTCAGGTATAGAAAATTCTAAAATTTGGAGAAGTTTGATAAAGGAATCGAAGATCACTTGAAAAATACAAAAGAGAGTAAAAGTGAAGAAGAGAAAAAGCGCGATGCACTGTTTGTGGTGTTATAAAATGACTTTGTTAAAATTTCTCCTGATTGTTATATGGACATCACCATCTGCTACACAGAATACTGTTTATTCAGGTAGCTTGTTATTTTATTATTTTATAATAAAACCTATTATTTTATAGTAAAAACTTCTATATAATATCAATATCACTATAAGTTTTATCATACTAATATTTATTGATTATTTCTCACTAACAATTTCAACAAATTTTTTATAAGCGAATTTACATTCGGTCCACTAAATTCCTTCTAAGTCACGTGGTCAAAGCCATTAGGGCTAACGACTACATTCAAATTCAGTAAACGAGCGATAATTCTTGTATTAATGTTTTTTAATTTAATGAATATGTTTTCATTATTCGCTCCTTAATAAAAGCGGTTGCGGATTGGACTATTACTATGGATACATATGAACAGCTTACGGTTCCTTGGGAAACCAACATCCCCAAAGACCATACCATCAAAGTCAATAAATGTTACGAGCTCACTAACGAATTCACTCAAAATAGGTTCGTTGTAGATTTTTCAAATTTGTCAAATTCTGCCACGTTACTGACCCGCATCATCTTTGAAAAATTTTCATCAAGGTATGCTGAAGCTATACTGAAAAAAAAACACGCTTTTACAGCCAACCGAACTAAAAAATAGAAAATAATTTTCAATTACCAAGAAATTATTTTAATTCAGAGTAAAAAGCGTGGGATGCTTGATATTGAATGTTACAATCATTCCAGTGGCAACTATCTATGAAAGGAAAGATATGAAATGTAATCAAATGCACCTAAAGCTATTTTTTATCGACTTGCATTCGTTTGATGAAAATTACAAATCAGACTTATTTTAAGAATATAAATTGTGTTTAGTGTAGGAATTTATTATTCAGTATATATTTTATTAAGGCCAGATCTTTAATCATCTTTTTTTGAATAGATTATATAAGTATGTAATACGAATAATAAATAAACGTCAAATTTGAAAGAGTTATAGGGTTGTTAATAAACTTTGTAATTTAAAATGTTTAAAAATTAGTGAAGTAACGAGTCTTTTTTATAAATGTCAAATAACCAAATTCTTTAATTAAAGATGACCAGAAAAAAAGAGAGAACTGCAATATATTATTACTTTTGATACTACTTATTTTTAAAGAATAAAAAATATTAAATCTTGAGGGGGTAAAGTACCACCCTGTCAAAGAAGATCGGTATGAAGTAAGTAGTTTTTAATGGTACGTTTCATCTTATAACTGAGAGAGCCCTGTCCTTTTTCTCATCTTTTCCTCTTCCGGGGTGTTTATGTGTGCAAAGACCTTCTGTCCTGCATAAGCCTAATTATAGTTTGAGGCGCTGAGCGTATTTAATTTTCATAGGGTCCAGGGAGACCTTGCCACTACGGTCGGTTCGGAGCTCTTTCATATCCCGTGCCAGTAACACACAAAACTCGACTTTCAGTTTAGATCACGGACAATGCTCTTTGACAAGATAGTTATTGGAACATTACTATCAATCATTCTTACACCTCTAGACCGGCAAAGCATCCCCTAAATCATGTTGCAGATATGTTTTTGAACATTCGATCACTTATTTTTAAACACGTCATATTGAACTATTTTGCCAAGATCTAATAAGATCTGGACAGTAAAGAAGGTATTTAAAGTCGATAATTTTTGTATTTACCAAAAATTTATTTATTGGGGTTGGATTCTGTTTAAAAATTCTATTGAGAGATTTTTTTATTTTATATAATTTATATGTATCATTTTATCGTATGTTTATTTAGAATTAGGCTTGATATCTTTCTTGATTATTGATCATTAAAACAAAATAGATGCAAGGAAATAAAAACAAGGTTCGAAAAAAATGACAATGCTTCAATGTTACAGTACTTGTATTTTTAGTGTAAAATAATTTGACTATACTAGTGATTGAACAATTTTAGGAAGGCGGGCAAAAGTCTTTTGCCCCTTTTTAAGTTATTCTTTCGATAAATAAGAAACTTTTACTTACTTTTAGTGCTACGTCCTCCCGTCACTTTTAATAAAGTAGTTTATACTTCAATGTATTGTGAATGTAATGGTTATATCGTAATTCTGAAGAAAATGAACATAATATTTATCTACAAGACGGCACCTGGTCAATTGACCCAAGCGGTTTTTTTATACTCGTTGCTTAATTGCGTTTGAAGCATTATTTAACCTCACAAACAAAATTCAATTTGATATAATTTTTAGAGGAAATGCAAGGTTTCTATTCATGAATTAAACTGCTTTGAACAAAAAAATTCTGTCAAGGAAGTCACTATATGTATAACAATAAAATACAGAGTGAAATACCAAGTAAGTAAACTGTTTTCATCCCCACAGACGGTCCATTCTCTTCTGTCACTGGGACGGTCACAAGGGTGTCATCGCTAGTGGGAGGAGAGGCAAGCCTACCTTGCGATTCACGCCCTCCACGTAATGATACCCTTCTCCTTGTGGTGTGGTACAGGGACGACAACCCTGTATACAGGTAAATCAGAATAATGTTTTTAAATGATAAACTTTGTTATTAATATCATATTCTATTTCCACCGTGAATTACTACGGTGGTTGTAATAAATCGAAATCATATTTGTTATATATCAAATAAACAACTTTTACTTATTTAAAAACTAGCTGGCCCGGCAGACTTCGTACTGCCTCAATCGAGAAATAAATAATTTCTCATTTATTTTTTTGGAGTTTACCTTTAAGCCATAAATCTCCGTGTTCTGAAGTGCGACAGAATGATTGACATATTAGTTAGTTGTCAAATCTAATGTCAAAAAACATTTGTATGGGAAAGAGAAAAGCTCTGTTTTTAGGGTTTTCCCGGAAATTAATAATTTTTTTCAGCTTTTAAACCTTCCCTAAGCCTCCACGAACATTTCAACATAAAGATAAGATAAATCCGTTCAGCCGTTCTCGAGTTTTAGTGAGACTAACGAACAGCAATTAATTTATATATATATATATATATATATATATATATATATATATATATATATATATATATATATATATATATATATATATATATATATATATATATATATATATATATATATACGCGCCGCCGCACGCGTCCACACTTGGAACACTTGGAACGTGTCCACACTTTATTTATTTATACGGAAATTTGGTCAAAAATTAAGTACCTATTTTTTTCACATAATTCGAATGAGAATCAAGTACCGAGTATTCTCCTTAAATATTGATAGTAATTCACTAGTCACCCTGTATATGTATGTATAAGATAAGATAAGATGGTAATACTAATAAAAAATTGTTATTATAAAATCATAATAAGAGTTACTACATAAAATTAAAAAAGTAAAAATTAAGTGATAAAAAAACACACAGAAAAAACAGAAATTATTATTAAAATTATTTCGATAACTATTTATAAATTGTCATCGAATTTTCAAGTAGCTTCATTTGAACAAGAGACATTAATATAAATACTACTGAATATAAGCTAATAAGCTTACTGAATTATTTAGAATATCTTTCATCTTCATAAAATATATAATTTAGGACTACGGAAATCAAATTATTACAGTAACAAGTTTTTAAATAACTCCAATACAAATTATTACGAATAAATCCAATCTGAATTGAAGTTTATATTTTCTTCATATTTTAAAAACAAATAACCACACTAAAGTAAATCAAAACTGGGTTTTCATTGGAACATTAATTTACATAGGATGTAATAAAGTAAAGTGTACTACATAATTTGTTTAGAATTAAATGTTATGATTAGTAGTCAAGTCTGTTTGATATCTTAAAGTTCTACTGTGGAACGAGAAAACTGGAAAGATTAATAGAAACAACCATCGAAATGCATAACAGATGTCTTCTCAATCCTTATAAGTCTTATAAAATTTACTGAAATTTATGTAAATGTAATAAATGTAAATGTTTTGACAGTTTAAATAGATTAAGTTTATTAAGAGAGATAATTTTTGAGCTCCTCTGATTTTAAGAACCGAAAGAAAAGAATTCTTTAAGAACCGATTCTATGAAAGGGTTTAACACACTTATTTCAAGTGTTTAGTTTATTTTAATGTATTTCTAGTTGTAAAATCATATCTGTATTTCAAAAGTGATTTCAATTACTCAAACTTTGACTATATTTATTATTTTAAATACTTTTTAGCAGTTTAAAATATTCTTAAACTACGGCGTTTTTCTTAAACGTGATACAAAGGCTGAAAATACTTTGCATAAAAGAAAAACAGAAGCAAGCTACACATGTTCAAACAGCTTTGAACATGGAATATTAATGTGGAAAAGTGTTTAAAGCTACAAGTGTTTTCACTGACAAATTACTTTATACAAGAAAAAAAGATTCGACCAATATTATGTACCCGCAAACTAAGGGGTTGTCCTCTTTCATATTTTACTGTCCAAAAACTCTCGTAGCATAAAGTTTCAGCTATGAGCCTTATACACCATTAATATATTATTCGTAGTCACACTTCACTTGTGCGAATGTGAATAACAAAATAACGAGTTCTTGAATTATAAATACATAATTTTTCTCAAATGTTTTTATAAGAATGAATATCAGCAATTTTGCATTATAATAATTGAACACCACAACAGATCTTCATTAATAATAATATGATAAATGTACAATTATTTCTAACAAAATTATATTTGATCATGTTAAATAATTTAGTATAAAATTTAACAAATATATTAGTTCATTTAATTTATAAAATAACAAAAAAATACTTACACAAGCTGATGAAGCCCTTAGTTTACTACTAAGTAGGAGTTTAGTGTCTATTATTCTGTAAAATTGATTTTGAAAGTCGTTATTAGTTTTGCTTATTTGTATATAAAAAATTGTCGTTATTATGTATCTAAGTACTAAGAAACCATAATTATTCACCTGTATGTCGTAAAGTTTATCGCATAATTAGTATGAACCTATTTAAAGTTTTTTTTTTAAATAATACTATTCAAACATTTTTTTTAATGATTCTTAAAAAAGTCTTTTCAAAATCCCAATCTTCATTTGTGTGTCTGTAATAACAGTTTTTAATACATATTTTTTCGTTAAAATAATTGTAAACTTTAAACAGTCTCTCGACTGTATTCACGCTAGGAAGTTATAGTTCTAAATCAGTTTAATAAGTAGTTTAAATATCAGCGGAACTTACAACGCAATGTTTCGTGAAATAAAACCTATTTCGTTTTGAGCTTGTCTATATCAATTATCGTCAGTTTAGTGAAATAACTCCGAAACTCGTTCAGTAAGGTATAAAACTGCAATCGTGTTATATTGACTTTCAACTTCTAGCAATTACTTTTCTTCTGTATGAAGCTATGCTTAATTCTATTCTATGAATAGATCGACAATTAATTTGGTTTTCAATTGATAATATTATCAAAACTCTCAAATATTGCATTTAAGCAGAAATAAATAAAAACTTCAAGCACGTATAAACTTTTGAAGCATCCAAACCAAGCATCAATTTTAATTTTTTTGTTTTTATCAAAGATAAAATAATCACCTTAATAAAGTATTGTATATAAATTCATTTTGTTCTCTTTACTTGAGTGTTATAATTGTATGTTATAATTAAGTAAAAAAAACTATAAAGTACCTGCTACTTCTTTAATGTCGAAGAAAGTGCTATTTATAATGATCAAAGTGGTAAATTAATTTGTTAATTACTCTTTTGACCTTATTCAGAATATGAAATAATTTAACAAATTACCAACCACTTATCGCATTGAATTTATGTCAGTAAGAGAACTTACTTTAGTTTGAAGATTTTTATTAACTTCAAGGCTCCAAGTTCAAGATTTACAAAAACAACTATTGATAACAATGCAATAATTATTTTAACCCAACATAATATTAAAAGTAATGTGTTTTATAAAATAGTCTATTATTCTATCTACATAATACTATCAAACTCACAAAACTAAATTTAAAATGAAGTCGCATTTGTTTGAATAGATTACTGAAATCGAATGATCACTTAGAAAAATATCATTTAAGTACATAAGCATAATTATAAGAGTAAATAAAAACTACTTACACTAAAAGTGTGAACTTATTTTATTTTAAACTTCATACAATCATAGTAATATTTTCTCTTTCGAGAAGAATTATTTTTATTTAGACTTAATTAATGTTATTATTTTGTCATATTTTAACCTCCAATTTTTATAAATCATTCGTAATTAAGGTGCGTCGGCATTTAGATAAAGCTAAATAAGACCAAACAACGCTTTGAATAAAACCAAACAATGCGGTACGAATCTTTATTTAAATCACATTAAATCGTCCTAGGGACGATGTGTGATACATATAATGAAACAGATGATGTATTAATGTTTTAATATATACATAGTATTAGTAATCCTACGTTGCTATTCTTTTTATTTTCAATTATCTTAATTTTTTTTGGAGTAAGATTGGTAATGATTAAATTTCTGTATTTCAGGAACATAAATATGTTCCATATGTATAGTTCCATAGGTAGAAGAATCATTAAAATTGTCAAGTATAAAAAATATCTTAATATTGTTCTATTAATTATTTTTTCGGAGGCATATACTGATTATATGATGTTTGGATTGAAATATTTTTCAGAATCGAATTTCTTCGGTAAGTAAAATAATCTTACATTCAGCTTGAACCAAAACGTATTATTTCATAATTCATTGTTGATAGAAGTTGTTGGAGGAAGCAAAGAACCTCTTATGAGAAACTTTTCTATCAATTTAATTTAATTATATTATGATCTCATTCTTGGGATTTTTTTAAACCACAAAAAAGAATTATGAAAGAAGCTTGAATATCATACCTTTAATACCTATTTAGTATTTACTTAAAACAAAGAAAATAACTTGAATATTAATGTGTTACCAGTACCATCACATTTTTTGTGATATTATTTATATTAATTTAAAATTGTATAATTTGCTTTATATTAGATTCACCCTCTTCGTTTTGCCGAATTTGCACCTGCGGCTTTACGAGCTGAACAATGGATTTAATCTGGGAATTATTAAATACCTTTGTTGGACATATGACTATTTAAATAGGGCTAGTGGATTATTTGTATTCTGTTTAATTAATGCTACTATTGAAATATAAATCTTAATTATTTATTTAATAAAGAGACCATTTAATACAATGTTATTTATTTTATTTATAACATTTTATTATCCTAGTGATAATTTAAATGAGAAATGGGGAAGATGTACGGATATGTGGATAATAGTTATTTGTTTACGCTGAAACTACAGCATAGATTTTGTTTGAACCGTGCAGTAGTTTAGATTAAACTGTAGAATAAGATAAAGTCTTTAATTTATGACGAAATTATGTGATGTTTCCATGGGATCACTGTATAACAGTTGTCTTCTTCTTCCTGGCATCTTCCCAGCCCTAGCCAGGGTCTGCCTCACTGTATAACAGTTGTATTGGGTATAAAGTAACGACACATATATGTAGTCATA